TGTCTATAAATCTCCATTAATCTAAAAAGTTAAACAATGGAATTTCTGAATATTATAATGGTTTAAACATAGCTTTAGAGGAGGTTTGTCTATTTTCTGATAGATTGTAAGTATAAACAAATTTTTTATTTTAATTTTTAACTTTTCATATTATATATAAATTTTATTACCATCTTGTATAATCATTTTTTGTTTTGGTAATATTATTGATTCTCTTAAACATTATTTTTATATATTTCTTATAAAATTTTCAAATATTTGATTCCAGATCTTTAATAAATTATTCTTGAAAGTTTTTTTATCTTTAATATCAATATTTAAATTATTAATATTTCTATTATTAGATTTAAGTCTGAAGATTGGGCCATTCAAAAAATAGTTTTAAATTATTTATTTATTTTTTTTTTTAGTTATTTTTAAACTATTTTTGTTTTATATTTTGAATTATTATTATGTCAAAATATAATATCATTGGGGTTAAATTATAATAATCTAATAAATACATCCATTTATCTTTTAAAATTTGTTTATAAAATTACTATTAAAATTTTCTTCAATTTTAGATAAAATTTTATATCAAAATAAATAAAACATTATCATAAATTAATACTATTTTTATTAAATTTAATTGTAGAAATTATTTATTAATCCTTTAAAGATTTTATAGATTTTTTTTAACAATATTTTTATTCTTGGATTTCAAAAAGTTGAAATTTAATTTTATTAGATAAATTAACATATTTCAATCTTTTATAATATAGTTTTTATATTGTTTTACAAATTTCAATCAGATTTTTTTATATTTCTTATTCAAAAAATGTTTTTTTCTATATACATATTTTATATCCATATTTCTTAAGAATTTTTTGAATTGTTCTAATACTAATATTTATTTTTTTATATTTTTTAGACATATCACATATAATTTTAATCACATGTAATGACCAAGTCATAATTGTACAAAGGATTCCAACTTGCATAAACAAACTTTTATATTGTAGAGAAAATAGATTACATTTTAGTATCAACTATATAGAGTATGTCAAGAGTAATAATCCTTAGAATGTAACAATCAGTAAAGAATCAATAGTAGGAGACAATTTTATACTTATAGAATAATAATATATGTAGTATATAAGAAATTCAACAATGAACTAGTATCAACCTCAAAAAGTTAGCAAAGATAGATGACTTGAGGCATAAGCTAGATGCAAATAATCAAAAAAGATTAACAGTAATATTCTAAGGATTATAGATCAATACTTTTGTTAAAATCCAACAGTTTCATGATTTGTATAGTCTATAAATTATCTAAACAGGATGTTATAGTTTCTAGGCAATGGTTCGAAAGTATCTTATCAATTTTGGTTATAAAAATTTCCTTCTACTTGCAATGCTCATGTTAACATTAAAGCAAAAAAAGAATAGAGTCAAATGAGTGAAGAAACATCTTAATGATAACTGGTCCTGAACTTTATTTTCAGATAAAATATCATTTCAATTATTTAGAAACATGATCATATAGTAGTATAAGGATTACAGACTGATGTAGAATATTTTTAAAAATAGACAAAAAACTTATTTCTTAGATGAATTTTTGATTAGAGAAAAAATGAGCCTTTACTGTTTTATTGACATGATGGATGTCAAATTTTTTGTAAGTATTATAAGAGAACAACTTCTCGAAATCAAAAAAATGATGAAAAATAATTGATAATTTTAGTAGGACAATAATCCTAAGCACACAAGTCATAAAGTAAAAAATTTTTTTTGAAGAAAATATACCTAAAGTAATGGACTGGCCATTCAATAGTCTTGATCTTAATCCGATCGAAAAACCTATGGGAACTAGTCAAAAGGAATATGGAGAAAAGAAATCTGTGAAATTTAGATGAATAGACAATATATATGGAGAAAGAATGGCAAAAAATATCTAAAAATGTTATAAAGAATTTAATAAGATCAATGAAATTACAATGTAAGGTGATTATTAAAAAAAAGGAAGATAGGATTGATTACAAATACTGTTTTATTCAATCTATTGTTATTTTACTTTTAAATAAAAAAATAATTATGATTTTCTAATATGATCACCATTGTATATATCTACTACTGTTTTGCATTCTTCATTTATTAATTTTTTTGATATTTTTTTTAAGTCTAGATTACCATCAATTTTGATATCAACCTGACATAAACTATAACCCTCTTTTAACAAGGATTGATCTTTTCTCTATAGATAATTGTTTTAAAGACATTGATTTATAAAAAAAATTCGAGAAAATTTTTGTATTTTTTGATTACTATTCTATATTATACACAGATGCGATTTTAGTAACCTCGGATTCCTTAATCAGTTCGTGTAACTTCTCACATTAATATAAAAACCATTGCATTAGCGAGATACATAAACAAGATTTTGCAAATTTTCACGTATAAAAGTAACATGTCTTCATACGCTTCTTCACCTTCCTACATCCTCTACTTTGACGGAAGAAAGGTCAACTCGCACGATGGCGGACGTAATCAAGAAATATAAAACTGAAGAGCTTATCGACTATTTGCAGAGGCAGGCTTGGATGATGACGATTTATCAATTTTACGTAAAGAAAAAATACCCGGTTTCGACTTTTTTGAGATAACGAGAGAAGAATTCCGCAACTATGGTTTGAAAGTTGGTCCCGCTAAAAGACTTGCGAAATTCATTAGAACAAAAATTGCGAAGCTTCTCGTCATATAAAACACTGGATGAGCTGAAGGACGTTCTCCGTAAATATAAGGTCAACGGTGAAGATATTACTGATATCAAGCAATTTAATCCAGGTATGAGCTACTATTTTTTTATGACAAAAGCGGTTAAAATTGCAGATATACGATAATTTATCTTTTCACCGTATAGTATTCGAGGAAATCAATGAGGATGACAAGACCCTCGAACAATGCATGAACGAAATAACGTTACGACTTTCGAACTTGGAGACGATGCAAGACAGTGCTAATGAAGCAACCCGCTGTGTGTTCATCACATCTATATTAAATGCATCACTTGCTATCACCCGAAGGCTTACCAAAAAAGAAAAAATATACATATCTTATATAAGAGCCGTTTCAGGCGAGGAGACATCCGGACGTGTTGACTACGCCATCAAAGGAGAAGAGGATCTTGTGTGCATAGCTGAAGGAAAGCCCCGTAACGTTGAAATCGTTTACCTCCAAAACATAAAGCAACTAGAAAGCGCGAGACACATGAATAAAGGGAAACGAACCGCGGAGCAGGCATTTGAAAATGATGATGATTATCTTTATGGGATAGTCTCTACAGTTATAGCCGCCGGCAAATATTTCATTGGCATTTTATAACGAATTTTTTCTTGCAAAAAGGCCTGTATAGCTACGGAATGGCATTTTATTAAACTTTGTGCAGAAGGGTTATACTGTACCAGTAAAAGTGAATACCAAATTAATTTATCCAAAATGGCATTGAAGAAAAGGAGTTAAAACAGTAATTGGGATAGGATTTCAATGTGTGATGAGCATGAAATTAGGAAACGTCGTGTTCAAAAAAGTAACAAATGATATATTTTTTCGTAATTGTGTATTATCATGTAACGGGCACTATATGCCTATATATTTTTGTATCAATAAAGCAAATATACATATATATTTTTCCCAAATTTTTTGATTTTTTTCTGAAATTTTCTTGGCGAAAGTAACGCACGTGATTTTATTTCAATACACGAATTTTTTAATTGCAAAGATCCCAATAATTCATTTAATCAATATCAAGTACGAGATCAAGATCAACTCCCAAAATTGTAAGACTATGTTGTATATTTATATTCGTTTTGCCAAATGCGATTACAAAGATATTCTATATATTTTTCGTAGGTAAATGAAACACTATTTGTTTTTAAACTTCTTCGGTTCTTATACAAAGGTCAATCTTTCTTCTCGAATCATTAGTGACTTTCGAAACTGTTTCTCCCTGAAAATTTGTAACAATTTGTCAGATTCACAATTGATAACTGTTTCTGAGTTAACAAAAACACTTACCATATCAATCTAACATGATCTCGTTGATCCGAAAATATTATGTCTAAAATAGGGCCTGCTAAAATCATTACATATTGGATTTCAGTATGGTTTTGGAGCCGGTCATCTTTTTTAATGAAGATATAGGGATTTTCTAAAAATAAATCAATGCTGAAAAAATAAAATTTCAACATGGTGAATAGCGGAAAAAAAAGGATAAAAAATATATGTAATAGACGTACATGTTAAAAAATATTTTTGCAACTTGTCTTATTTGACTATCAACGGGTCGTTCAATTACATTTTCTAATAGAATTTTTCGTGCTCCCAAATAATCGTATGAACCACATGGCCAAATGTATAGTGTAGTAAAAATTGTAGTAATTTGGTACTACATTTGGTATTATATAGCTTCAACAGGCAATATGATTTATATACATTTTCTATTTTCGTGATTAATTCTGATACTTCTGTAAATCTTTCGACTTTCAAATCAATTTTTGATAATACTTCTTTCTTTAGTGGTATCCAATTGTCCCCGAACCAGGAGTACATGCTCCTTTGAATTCCGACGAAAGATATTTGATGGATGACAGTCCCAACCTGTACATACGTTTATCAAGTAATTAGTAAATTAAAGTACTATCAATAATAATATTATTATCATATTTTACCTTATAATAACACTCATTAATTTCGAGTCTACTTTTTTCAATCGCTTCTTTTGTCATATTTATAAGCCGACCTCTTACGCTTTTATTATTTTTTTAATTTCCAATTATAATTTTTGATATCAGTTTTTGAACCAACAAAAGAATTAAATGACACATCTGCAAGTTCGGCTGTATTTTCTTCTTTAGAACTGCTATCTAAAGAATTTTCCTCATCTTCATCCTCATAATTAGATGATATCCCAGAATTTAATTCGTCCTGTGAAAATTTTAGGTTAAAAGTAGAAACAGCAATTTTTAATCAGATCCGCTTGCATTTGTCTGATCCCGTGGATAATCTAAATCTGATTCGTCAGCTGAAAAAAAGTTCTCAACGGAATGGCCTAAATGATATGGACAAATAAATTTACTGCGTATGATGAGATTAAAACAATGGAAAGTACCGCACCTCATTTACTGGAGATCGTGCTCGATTTTTTTTTGGAAGCTCTTTCCTCAACATTATCACTCTAAAAAGTAACAAAATGGAAATAGTAGGGGCTGATAAATTTGCTAAATGTCTTACTACTTGGTTAAAGCACGGATTAATACCTTTCCATAATTTGTATTCCTTTTCTGCACTTTACTGGACAACTTAAAATTTCCGCCGATACTTCCAGTTTGCACTAGATCTCCTGTGAATGTTGAATTATGAAAATAAACTGAAGACCCATTACTCGCACTGGCTGAATCGCATTCTCTTTTCCATTTTCTTGCCGATTGATAATCAGGTCGAGGATCCTTTCAGAATTTAAGTGTTAATAATATACTAGTTTATACTAGTTAAGAATATTATTAATTTTCCTGCCCCCACCAGGTCGACAAAGAGCCTTGAACATCAGGCGAACGAGGAGCTCACCTGTGCCCCAACACTGGTTTTGTGGCTCAGCAAAGAGCCTTGATAGATAAAAACACAGAAGTCCTTATCATGCCACTAATCTCCTTTCTACATTTTACGATTAAAAGATTTACTTGCCTTTCTATATCTATTAAGAAGCTGTTTTAGCGATAGTATCGAGTGATTTTACATAATCGTCGATCATGGAATCAAATGACTCTATGTCACACTCATTCAAGAAGTTGATAATTTCCCATTTCGCGCATTTCCGTTCAAAGTATTCGTGTATTTTTATTCGATTGCAATATTATCAAGTTTGTATATTTACATATCACGTGACCCAAACCGCATCTGCATTACTTTGTATATTTGTGACAGTGTGGCATTACTTGTTTTTGTATAAGTCAGGTGACCTTTTGTGCAACTTGTGAATTGTGAGGAGTTCCTAGTTCCATAGTTTTGTTGCAATTGTTCGTTGTACATGGTCCTCCAGTCAGTATGATTAGATGTTATCACTATAGGATGGATGTTTCTGAGATTTAGCTTTCAATTTATTTCATTTTTGATTTGTGAAGCTATTGTTTGGTTTTATTCTAGATAAGTTCGATTGTAAGTATATATGGCCTATCAAATTGTTTTAATTATCTTTCAAATTGGTTTTGATATTTCAATTTTTTTGTTGAAATCAAAATTGAGCATATTTTAATTGAAGGTATGTACTATGAGTATTACTGGTTACTCTATTGTATGTTTTTTAAGTGCGTTACCCAATGGTAATAAGAAGAGTAGACTTCAAATTGGTAGTGTATCTTTTAAAGTAAAGAATATAGCTATGTCGGGTTTTATAGACTTTACTATTAGAAGGTCTTGGTGGAAGGAAGTAAAACTGTAAACTACTTCAAAGGACTGAAGAAACCAGGGTCCAAGATACTGTAATCGATGGCTTGATAACTAGAATACTTTTAAGAAAAAATTGTTCTGGGAAAAATTAAGATGAATTCATATGTTTTTTCAAATAGATAGTAATTGTATATAGCATTATGTAAGATATATATATAGCTACTCATATATAGATAGATCTACTATAAACATTATATGTACAATACTTATTGATATATGTAACTAAATAGTTTATCATATAAAAAAAAAAAAAAACTCTTTCCACTGATCCCCAGTTTTTCAGAAAATTTCCTTTTTTGGTAATTTTTTGAAAAAAAGAGAAACTAGTCAAAAAAACAAGAGAAACCACCTTTACAACTAAACAACTTACAAAAACAAGTTCAAGAACTCTTTACAGAGTGCAAAAGAGGTAAGTTTTACAAAAAT